GCCTCTATCTCGGCTATAAGCGTCAAAGCTTTATCGCGTAAATCCCGGACAACATCCTGTGTGTGTGCAAAGCTTCCAGTGCTCTCCATGTATTTGACTGCGTATAGTTTGACCTCCTCATCCTTAGTTTTCTGCTTGAGGATATTGATGAGCTGGTGATTACTCGGGTCGGATCGAATGCTGTGAATGATGGGAAACGAGAATTTCCCCTCCGTGAGATCCTCGCAGAGACCTTTGTTTTTAGTGTAAGTTGTATTGGACAGATTGAGGTAATCATCACAGATTTGGAAGATCAGTCCCAACACATTGACTAAGCTCACGCAGTCCTTCCCCGTATTGCTCTCGGCCTGCATTAGCTTTATAGCTAGTCGGAACAGCCCACCGGTCTTATTTCCAACCATCTCGAGGTATTCCTCTTCGCTGGGGCAGGTGAGGGTGTCTCGCCAGAACAGATCCATCCCTTGGCCGCGATGGAGGTTCAATAACTCTTGAACGTAAATATCAATCGCAGCAGGATTGTTCAGCTTTTGAACCTCTTGGAGGGCCAAGAAGTAAACATAATTCGCCGAATTGATGGTCTGAGCTGTTCCGTAAATATTATGAGCTACCGGAACTCCGCGACGAAGAATAGAACAATCTTCAACATCATCGATCCTACAAGAGTAAGCAACAATTAGAGTGGTTCGAGCTGGTCCGAGTGGTATGAGGATCCACCTACAATAGCGATGCTGTGTGAAGCATAGCTACTACTTTGGTGATAATAGCCAAACTCTCCGTGGGGACTCTCAGCCATTCATTGAATGCGTTGATGAGCTGCCGTCGTATATCCTTGCCAGGATGCTGCAGCATGTAATCATAGGGACCTAATACAATCATCTCGTTCTCTGGCGACCACTGGCCATCTTTATATTTTGTGCCATCTAGGCTAGATCGATTGCGAGTGTGTTTGCGCCGCATGTTGGTGTTCGTCTGTAGTTGATCGCCCTTTGTTTCAGGAATAGCCGCGAGGCTTGATTGTCCTGTCACGGATGAGTTTGTACTAGCTCCGTCTGTGGCACCCGCAGAGCTAGTTCGAGGGGGGATGGTAGTGGGGGGCTGCATGGAAGAAGTTTCCGACGACATTGTTCCTTGATTTGCGTCCCCATCAAGTTGCGATAGGGTGATATACTCGGGAACGAACAGATGGCAAATACGCCAGTTATTTAAACTGACCTGGCGAACTGCCAGAAGCCCCGTGATAGAGGTAAGCTCTTTGTCCTGTACCGCACAATATGAAGAGGGTGAATGCAAGAAACCTTTGTTGTATGCGGGGAACAACCCAATTAGGCAGCCTGGACAATGTGACGTCGATTCATGTGATTCGTATTGTGCCCCAATACGGTGGGATTGTGTTGGTCACATGACATGGGCCGTGGTCCAGGAACCTGGATTTTGACACCGCAAGAAACTTTCCATTTGAGTTACAGGGCCATACTCCATAGATGCCATTTCCATGGATCATGCACCCCAGGCTGCAAGGAGTATGTTGCCCTTCACAAGGGATAGTCGACTAGACAACCTACATGACCAGGGAAACAAAGAATTTAACAAGAATCGGCCGAGTCCGAGTAAGTTCTCCTACGCCTCAAAATTCCAAGGTACGGCAGAACACGACATCATCAGGACCCTTTGATAAGTTGATCCTGCCAGGATGAGCTGGCGACATGGCGCAGCTGAACTTGTCATCGTCACAGTGACAGCTCAGCGCCTAACGGTCCAATGGCCTGTGAAGTGCTGGGAGGAGTAGCATCCCAATTGGACATCGCCGGTCGTCTCCCGGGGCAACCATCGGGTGTGTTTGCTTGCCTGTGGGGTTCACACTCACTAAATCTGACTAGTGAGGATCTCGGCACGATCAGAAGGTGATGTTGTCGAACTAATTTATCCCTCGACGAAACTATTTATCACCAATAATTGAATTAAATTAAGGTACCTGGGCGTCTGGACTAGCTGGATCTTGTTCTATTTTTTCCCTGTCCTACTTTCATCTAGATAAGCCTCGGTGTCGCATCTTGTCGCCGAAAGCGTCGCCGAGTTAAAAAAGACTTTGCTTCCGCGTTCTTCTTGCTTCGTTTTATGTTTGTAATTTTTTTTTTTTCGCCAACAGCCATTTTATTGATTTTTTCGGTTGGCTTACGTACCCATGGAGACTTTGTTGGCGCATTCGTTCGATTACCTATCTTCGTACGAACCAAGCAAAGTTCGCAAAGGGTTGCGCCAGGTTGAAGGTCTTCTCGCGCAAATCTGTTTATCCAAGTCGAAACAGCCGGCGCCTGATAAACGGAGGTCATTACTATCCTTTGGAGCTCCACAACCTGTTCCCAAGGCTCTGTCCGAACTAAAGGATGACCCCGCATTTAGAGAATTTTTCAAGCTTCAAGAAGGGTTCCAATGGAATGGTACGCGCCGTCTAGTCCGATTCCATATATTACCGGATATCCGATAGACTGACAAGCTTCTCCCAGTCGCAATGCGCTTGGTAACCTGCCTTGAGCACCTCCTTGGTCGAGGAAGCAATGGCACAAATGACCTTCTTATACTCTCGACACTTGACTTAATACAAGGCGCGCTTCTGCTCCACCCGCCATCGCGGACACTGTTCGCGCGCGAAATTTATATGAACATACTGTTGGATCTTCTGGACCCGATCAACTGCCCCGCTATTCAGTCTGCTACCCTGCTCACTCTTGTAACGGCTCTTTTGGACCATCCCGCCAACACACGCACGTTTGAGGAGCTCGACGGACTACTCACCGTGACATCACTCTTCAAGCAGCGCGCAACATCTCGAGAAGTTAAACTCAAACTCGTCGAGTTCCTCTACTTCTATCTGATGCCGGAAACACCGATGATCCCTGCAGGAGCAGGCGCCAGCGCGGTGAATGCAGCGGCGATTGGACTGCAGCGCAGTCCAACCAAGTTAGGGGGGCCAAGGCCAAGGAGTGCCAATGGCCCAGGAGCTCACCATAGCGGAAGGGGAAATAGAGATACGCGCACGACGGATGAGAAGCAAGCACTGCTCGGAAGGTATCTCAACAATGTGGAGGATCTAGTTGAAGATCTAAAAGAAACCGCGCCTTTTGGAGCAACAGTTTACTAGCATGAGCGGCGTCCCGAACTTCTCTTTTGTTTTTCCTTCCTTCCTTTCTTTGGCTTTTCCCCCTTCATCTTCTTTCCTTTTCATTGAGCAATGGAGCGTGCATGGAATGGTATTGTTGGCTGGTCTCTCTGTGTCTTGCATAATTCGTCGCGCTGAATTATCCTTTCCTTCTTTTCTTCTTCGCCCTCTTTCCTTCTATCCTTCCATTCTATCTCCAACCCCCTTCCTGTCTTTATGACCCTCTCTCTGACTTACTATTCTCTCCCCGTCTGGCACGGCGTCTGGATCGAGAATGTGGATGAATTCTCTTTTTCCTACTTTTTCTGTCATGTCATCCTTTCCTTTCTTTTTTCTCTACGACTTATGGGTCATTTTGATGCATCATGTATCATGTTTTGGGCGGACTTTAAGAGCAATGACTACTTTTGAATGATCATATCAAACTGAAAATCGGATATCACCTTAATCACTGAAATTCTATGCCACAGAAAGCGTAGCATTGAATCATCGGGCCCTGATGTAGTTTGGGAGATCACTGAAGTGATGGTGATGGTTTTAGATTGCTGTGGCGATCTGGGAACAAACTATTATATAAAATTTTGCGACAACCTCGGTACTAACTAATATGACTCATTTTCTCGCTTAACAGCAACTACTGTTGTATATAGAATTATCATTGCATGTAGTATATATATCCCTTAAAAGCCCACGATTATCTAGACATCTTCAATTCGATAAACTTGCATCACTTGTGCAATTGCTTCTTCACCCGCTGAGAAACATCCGCCCGGGGCTGCCACACATCCAGTGTTAAGAAGAAAGAGACGCAAAAACAAGGAAAGAGGTTATCTATCCAGAGCATTTTCCCCCAGGTCCCGTAAATTGCTACAATGGCTCGTACTATACAAGAAACCCTTGCCTCAGGGTCCCCTAGTAATACAGCTAGCTCCCAAAAGCCAGTACAATATGTGGAAACCGTTGAGGCATACAACAAATGGGCGGAGGTAAGCAGATCTACCTCGTATAATACTTCATTACGAAGGAAAAGAGAAATCACAAGTAATTTAGACAAATTCTAACTAAAAACACAGGTCTATGACACAGACGGCAACTTCCTACAAGCCCTCGACAGCATCGAAATACAAGAGCTACTACCACAACTCTTGGACAAAGTAACCGCCAATACACAGATATGCCCGGTAAAATTAGTCGATCTAGGCTGTGGAACAGGTCGAAACACTCGCCAGCTACTGCAGTTCGCGCCCCAAGATACCCATATCGTTGGGCTGGATGCTTCGCCGGGGATGCTGGATGTTGCTCGCACCGCTATTGACAAGGAGAAGCAATCCGATCCTTCTCTTGCTAATAGGGTTTCGTTGGAGATTTATGATCTGCTTCGTTCGCCCCCGGCACCGCCTGAGTGTAGCGTGGGCGCGGCTGGTGTGATTTCAACTCTGGTTTTGGAGCATATCCCCGTGGACCAGTTCTTTGAGGGCGCCGCGGCGGTGATGAGACCTGGAGGGTATTTTCTTTTGACCAATATGCATTCTGAAATGGGGTCGATTAGCCAGGCAGGGTTTGTGGATACGGCGACTGGGACGAAGATTCGGCCAACTAGTTATTCTCACACGATTGAAGATGTGTTAGATGCTGCTGAGAAGGCGGGATTCGAGGTTGAAGAGTTGGGCGGGGAGCGTGTCCGCGAGAGAAAGGTGGATGAGACGATGGTAAAAGATTTGGGTAAAAGAGCGAATAAGTGGATCGGTGTCACGGTGTGGTTTGGAATTTGCTTTAGAAAGCGGTTGTAAGGAAGCGCTACTCTTTCTGAAGCTTGACCCCGTTGTCGCTGTGAGGATTGAAAGACAAGTGGGCTAGCAGTATTATACATGAATAATTCGTTTTGATATCCAGTGTCTAGAAATATTTTAGCAATCTTTCCCGATGCTGCACAAGATTTTCATGCTTTTGCAGAAGCTCTGCCAGCCTATTCCGCTTCCATCCCATTCCCTTTTCTAAGATCAAATGCGTATAAGCGAAGACGCTAGCATCGAACAAGCCTGGACTGGACCGTTCAAAGAAATGTTCGTTGTTGCCTAGAAGCGTAGAGAGTGCCTCAAAGGCATCGTCTGCCTCTGCTTCCAGTGCGCTGACATCAATATATTGTGAAGTCTTCAGAAGCTCATCCCTTGCGGCCTGCTGAAGCTGAACAGCTAAAGTGGCGCGTACCAGCGAATTGCTAGTCGATGGATCTACATAAAGCCGGCGGGCTACGGCACTGAAGTTTTCATTGTCCAAATAAAGGGTATACAACTGTGTGCGTGTGAGCGTCACTCTTGGAACCACTGTCGGGTACTTATGTCAACATACCCAAGCATTCCGTATCCGGTGATCCAGTAATGATGCATATACCTCAAACCGCAAGTTCAATTGCTGTTCTTCTTCACAGTGGACTTGCTCAATAGCCCACTTTTGTAGTTTGCTGGAAGGTATCGGGGCGTTGTTGTTGACTGGGAGGGCCGGGAGGAGGAAGGGAAGAGCCCCCGTTGGTGATGCATGATTATTCGAAGGAACAATATCAAACTCGATACCGACAAATCTCAAATAAGCCTGTGTGTACAAAGTCATTCGGGTCAGAAACGATCGGACATAGCCTGCGCACTCCGCTATTCTCACGTACCTGCCATTTGAGACACTGCGGATTGAATGAGGGTCTGTGACTTTTCGCACCCGCTGCATCTGTAAACACAAATAACCGATTTCCCGTCCGGTCCGAGGCACCACGTTGAGGAAGGTCATTGGAAGAATAAGTGACGAGAGGAAATTGATCAAAGATGCGCTTGATCGGAGCAGGAACGGCGAAATAATCCCTGGCGCGTGAAATGCTTACATAGCCCGGCGCCTGGCCGGAGGTATCACGGCCTTCAGGAGTCATTGAAAAGAGAGAACAAGGGAAAGGTGGATCAAAAAGAAAGTGTAAAAAAGGTTCACACGTTAGTGAGTTGAAAGATTGAGGCAAGTGGAATAAGTCGACTCGGACTAGCTCTGTGTACTTGCTTATTGCCGGACGATTTGATGATAAACTCCGACTTGCCGCGCTGCCAAGCTTCAGGCACCCCAGGCATGAACTGATGCCTCAGGCGCAGATCGCTGACCTCGGAGCCGCGCAGGGACTCGTTTCAGGTTGGATTTTGCATGTTTCTTCCGATGTCAGTCACCGAACAGCCCCCGCATCTTTAACGCAGACCCTGGCGGGGTTGTCGAGTCGCCTGGACCTGTTGTCTAGCCACTGTTTACTAATTTATTTTTGGATCTCCCAATTTTGGATCTTCCTTTAGCCTTCATCCTCTCCTTCTGTCACCCTTTCTCTGCTGTCATCGCTTTCGTATATTTTCTTGTTCTCATCGAACGACTGCCCCCCCTCCCCTCCCCCGGTCGAACGGGACCTTTATCGATTTCTTTGTTCTGATGCTATGTACAATCCCTGTGCGGAAGGCTACCTAACTGAGGAAACTTAATCGTCTTTTTGATGAATGTCGAATTTGATCTGCACTGTGCCTTGCGATTACTGGTGGATCTGCGATAGCGCCGAGGTCGATACAAAACGGCACGAGGCACAGTTTAACCGACCCCAAGCATATTCGAGGATCGGTATTGCCTTGGGTGCGTCATTCTAAGAGTAGTCTGACACAATGCCTTTGGATGAAGAAGGCGCCAAGTGGTCATGGTAAGGATCTACATATTGGTCGTCGGCACGAAGTTACTAACTGAATTCCTAGCGAACCATGTATCCGTGGCCATCGTTCCTCGAAATGTCAACATTTCGACAGATTGATGATGAAGGTGCCCAAGGCCGGACGTCCACTTGCTAAATGCCCCCATCCGAAAGGGACATGTAGCTGCCAAAAGACTTATGCATTTATGATCCGTATCCCAAAAGGTGAGTGGCCCATTCTTTTACAGAACAAACATTCGCTAACTACCATTAAGGCTCTACGTGTCTCTGTAGACCGGTATATCAAGTGCCTGTGGATTCGAATGAGTCCGCACCACCCACCCCAACTACTCTCCCCCTTGCAGCTTCACCCGCTCCTGGTAAAATTCAGAAGTCATCTAGAAGGCAAATCAAAACTGCCCCGGAGAGCATTGCGAAAGCCCTAGATTCCATACCAGACTTTGGGAAACAACATCATGACAACGGCACCTTGAACCATATTTCCCCTTTCATGTCTCAAGATCCGGGGCTTAAAACCATGGGGAACAGTCTATCTCAAGGTATCAGTACACCAAATACTTTTATACCTCATCAGGCCCTCGATAATGGCGACGACACGAAACCGCCAGGCGGAAGCTGTTGTTCTCAAAAATCGCAACCACTAGTGCAAACCCAGCCTCAAGCTTCTTGTTGTAAGAAGCCTGAAAGTCCCGCACAAAATGGCCACAGCACAGAACCCACAATCGACGGATCAAGCGCCCCCTATACGCCATCTTTGAATGCGACTTCATTTACACCTATTTCTACACCTCAGATTCCTACATGGCAGGACTTTAATGCTGTTGGACAAAATCACCACTACCCACCGTTTGTGCCGCACCAACAATCGACTGGGCAACCCGCATATGTGCCTGACTATACGTTACATACATCACCCAAGGCTGTTGCTATGAGCTTTCCCCATCAGAACATTACCAGCAATAGTCTCACCCAATCTTTTGTCTCGCAACCGTTCCCACATGATACTAATAATTCTGGTTATATGGCACCGGCAACTCTCAACAGTGACCCAACCCACAATTGCAGCTGCGGTGATAATTGTCAATGCCTGGGCTGTGCTTCTCATCCATTCAACAATACCACAAGACAACATGTTCAAGAAATGGGTCTTTTGGTTGCCTTTGATGGCGAGGACCGGGCCGTGGAAAAAATGAACGGTTACCAGACCCCCTCTTTGCATGGCAGACAGCATAGTGCTACACAACTAGATTATCCATATACGAACTTCAGTCATGCCTTCAATAATGGTACCCAACATTTGATGATGCGTTCCTATGGTGAACAAAACCAAACCTCACGCATACTTGGGAATGGATATTCATCTCCGCCAGCTGAATACCTGTCAGAGCAACAGTTTATGGAGCCTTCGGAGTATTACACTCTTGAATATCCAGTGGGCTTGCCATCTGGTTGCTCTGATGTGACGGGAAGTTGTCAGTGTGGAAATGATTGTAATTGCGTTGGCTGTCTCACGCACAGCGGGCACAATGGCCTTTCTTTTGAACCTGTGACTACCGAGGCTAGCAATCTGTCTCCTATTGCCCCCATGACGTCGTCGGACAACCCAGGCATCGGCGTGTCCGGGATACAGGCTTTGGATGATATTACCGTTCCATCGACATCCCCCATGCTGTGAAATTTTTCCCATCTCAAACTACCTTGCCGCAGGTGTCTCTGCTTTATTTATTCTTACGCCGCCTTTCATCTTCGGCTGGCTGTTAATCATGATACCCCTGAATAGATGCTGGACATTAGATTTCTTACGCTCCCAGCCTTCGTGTACAGTTATTTTTCTTTAATTTTCGGGCTGCGTAAACCACGCATGCATTGGTACATCCCCTCTCTTATTCTCTGGTCGTTATTCGATTCCTTCCTGCGGCTGCCTTTATCAAATCTCTGGAGAATATCCAGGCAATGGATTTCACAGATTCCACGGATCTATAATGTCATCCGTACATGGAATGCTTAATATAACAATGCAGCATAAATATAATGGCCTCATCACTTGTTCACATAGCTACCCCTAGCCTTTGCATGTAGTCTCCACCGATGATATTTAGACTATACCGGCGTATTCTCCGTAAGATACTCAATCTATTTTACACACTTGTTGATGCGAATCGAAGACGTAAACTGAAATAATGGCGGGATACAACAATGATGAATTGCATGCTAAACGGTAAACAGAGCCTAGGAATTCTTCTAAACTGCATGAATGAAGCCCCAACCTAACTTTATTCCCTCGGCTATACAGGTATCATACACAATCAAATGCTGAACCCTCTACCGACGCAGTGCGTCTCTAACGGGCGAGTCGCCACGACGGAATGAAGCTATGTCTCATGTTAATCAAGGTTGATACCCCTATACAAGTCAGTAGCAGGGACCAGAAACGTACAGTCGGCCTCTTCCCAAGCACGTCCAGCACCGAAGCCCAGACCAACCCAAGCGGGCCAAGCCCTCCGCTTGAAGAGGAGCACTGAGAAAACAACACCGAAACCGAGACCGAGGGAGGAGCGAATGATCATGGAGGAGATGGCGCGATCCCACTGTGGTTATGAAAAGTCCGTATTAGCCCCAATTGTGCGCGATTGTATACTCCTTGCTCATTGGAAGCCCCCGGAATATCCGAGCTGGTGGGCAAAAAGGTTGGGAATAGCCATTGACGCAAGATTATGTCGCGAAAAGAAATATACAAGATTCAGCAGGCGATTTGTACCTTCTCATTGAGCAATGCCTCACTGACGGGCTTGGTGGCCCGGACGATCGGCTGGGATTCGTTGGAGTCGGCCATTGCGATAGATCTGAAAATCGAGGATTAGCCAAAGGCAGACATTGACGTAGATTGAAGCAGGACTGACTGTGACGATGAGCACAAAGGAGGGAGTCAAGCGTAATATTGGCGGAATATTCAAGCCAAGGAGGAGGTGATGAAATCGGGTGCGACGTTTGAGCTCTGTCGGGCAAAGGCGGTCGGAAAAACTAGGCTCGGCTTGGGCTGTCGTCACGGGCTTGACTACTTTTTTTTTCTTTGGTCGGGTCGTATCAGGACGCAATGTTAACTCCGCACTGACAAAGAACAAGAGGAACGATAGGGGAGGGCAGTTCGACACACTCTTCTCGAGATGCCTTCTTTTGCGGAGGTAAGTTAACTACTTGAGATTTTGAGTTTCTCGTATAAAGTATGTCTGTTGATCTTCTTCTGTACAGCGTCCGCGCTCCTCGCAAGAGGCGCTTCTCCGACTTGAAAAAGGCTCGGGTTCTCCAATCAGCCAGCTCAATGAAGCAGCCCAAATCATAGGACTGGATCTGGCGCTATGTGCAAGTCATCCGGAGATTAATAAAACCACCTACGTCCAAGCTCGCGCCGCTCCGAAGGAAGAATGGGTTCTCCGATGGTTATTAAAGAAGTTGAGGGCGGGGAAGAACTATCGTGTCGAGCCTGCGTCTTTTCTCCTGTTACGACAACTTATTGATCTTATTCAACCAAAGACATTAGCGACAACGCTCAAGGACCAGAAGTTTTTGGCGATCCTCGACCACGCGATTACCGACTTGGAGGATGATGTATTTGCCGGTCTTGAAAATGGAATGACAGAGTTGGGCCATTCGGACTCAGAGTCTAGTAAAACTCTCAGCGATTCATCGCCTCAAAGTGATAAAAAGGGAACCAAAAGAAAGAGGGCAGGCGACAGTGAACAAGACGGGATGGACATTGACGAGCAGCCACAGACGCCTACATCGTGCTTCTTGTCCTTCATTCGTGCCTTGGATTGCTTGTACAGCATCGTGATGCTTGCAAGTCGGACGCTTGAGATTGATGAGGCGGCCAGTTCTCATTTGAAGCATGCGCTGAAGGGTGAGCCTGAAACGGTTGCTGTGACGTTAGGGAGGTCGTTCAGACTCGCAGCTGTGGCTTCTACGCAGTTTTCCAACGCACGGAAGACGACAGATCTGCAACACCTCCTATACGTATTCCCGGCTATCCTTGACCTGTGGGATTTGAGGTCTAACCGTCGTGTGGATACGGATAGTGGATCGAGCAATGTAAGTTTTGCGCCGTGCTGAGTGTCAGAGGGATGTCATGCGCTGACGTGTCTAGGAATCGTTTTCCAAATATTGCTTCCAAAGTGCTCTGAGGTTGCAGCACTCTGTGAGATCCACTCAGCTTGACACCGATGAGAGGGCTCAAGTCCTGCATGGGGTTGAGCGTTTGATCGCCCTCCATGTGGTTCTTCCAGCGCGGGCCGCCTTTTTTGATAGAGGGGGGTCAGGCATAGATTATTCGGCCAGCGAACCGGACTGGAGCGCTGTGAAACCTGTTTCCGATACTTTTAGGCCCATTCTTTGTGAACTCGAGCTCCCCAGTCAAAACACCAGTGGTGATATCGTCAAGAAGAAAACGTTATGGAAGACGGCAGAACTTCTGCCCGAATTCTTCGATATCGCCTGTCGATCGGTTCCTAGGGACACTTTCCGAAGACAAACACACGATGCGCCTTGGTTGGAGACACTGTTCGTTGCTATTGCCGAGCTAGCATTTTCTATTGTGAAAGCTGAGAACACTACTACTTACCTTCCCGAATTTGTCGGTGTCTTGGAGCGGCTTTTCCGCGTCGCCCTCGACCGGAACGTGCAGTTATCTTTGCATACTTTGCTCACTCATGCTTCCTACACCGGCCTGCACAGAGACGGACTGTCGCAGGTTGAGTGGAGCTTAACCGCTTTATTGATCGAGCTTGGGGCAGACATATTCTTACCAAATTCTGGACTCAGTAACTCGACTCAATTGCTGGATGCGTTACTTAACAAGATTAACCTATACTGGCGTAGCGGTGCGTCGCAAACAAGTGGCTGTTATGAGACCATCAAAAATGGCGTCTTGATTCCTTTGATGCGCGCATTTATGAGTGCCAGAGACTTAGCCACTTTCATGCAGTTGTGGTATGAGCAACTCATTGAAGTAGAAGAAGCACGATCGCAAGACAGTAGCTTGGGCCTTTTCACTGTCTGGGAAGATGATGATGTATGCAATGTCTACGGTGATTTGATGCGCAGCCCCCTTACCCATACATATGCCTCTGCGCAAATGCATGCAGCCGCGACTGAGATAAGGGCCGAGGATGGCAGAGTTGCCAAGTCCGCCGGAGCTTACGCTCAGTTTGTCATCCTGGAGGCTGGTTTTAGAAGCCGTGATTTGAATGCTACAGATTCCTATGACGATCTGGTTTCTATTATTGAGACATTTAAATCAACCTTGTCTTCGAAGCAACACTTGCATTGGAGATGGCGGTTGTGGAGGCTAGCCCGCAGCCTTCTCGAGAACAATGTGCACTCCACTGACAGCACTCTTGCTGCTACAATTATGGGCTTAGTTGAAGCTGCGGCGAAGTCTATCAAGCGCCATCAGAAGGACCGGATGCAGAAACTATGTGCTCCCCTGGAGTGCTTCGAAGCATATCGATTTACTGTTACTGCAATTAGCGTGTCTGCAAAGTCTAGCTATACTGATGAGTTCAACATGCTCACCAAGGACATTGCGGAGTTTATGAAATCTAGCTCCGGCGATTTAACACCCCAGTCCAATAATTCTCCATGGAATGGTCGGGTGGACACTCTCGACTCTATGTACCTCGTCCTGGCTTACTTTCTGACCCTTGTCAGGTGCCCGGATGTCTGGCGCCAGGTCAACGTTGAATCCCGCCGCTCTCTCTTTCAAAATATGCTCTCCTTAGCAACATCCCAGTATCACCCGTCGTCGACCCTTGAGACGCCTCCATCTGAGGCAAGGTTCTTACAAGCCTGGGCGAGTGTGGTATGCCACGAATACCTTCTTAATGCTCCTGCCATCGCCATAGACCTGATTATTGTCCTATCGGAACGAGTCAAAGAGGACGCCTCGAATAGGAGACTTTATGTTGAGAGTCTCCAGAGAATCCCTACGGCGCTTATCACACGCCGCCAGAGGGGACTGCTCCTAGACCTCTTGCAGGATGTTGTCATACAGGAAGATAGCACGGCTGAAATCACCGTAGGGATATTGTCTCTGATGGCGAAGCTGGCCGACATGCCCAAGTCCACTGCAGCTCTGACCAGCGATTGGGAACCAATCTGGACAGTAGCTAAAGCCGTCAGTTTGCAGGGGACAGAGATTGATCTGCAGATCATGAAAGCATTCAGAAACTTACATCGAGCAGTCGTATCTAAGCTTCTTGTTCTCTCCGAAGAAGATTGTCGCAGACTGTTCAAGAAGATGTATCGCAAAGTTTCGTCCAAGGCATCCAAGTTGCGATCTATTGACCGTGATTCCATGGATTGCTTTTTCTTGAGGATCTCCTTGTCTCAGCTCTGGCTCCACCGTAAGCGACTTTCTGGTGTTGATGAGACAGAATTGGCTGCATGCCGCCAAAAGGTTTTCGACTTGGTCGTGATGGAGGTCAAGTCCGTCAAAGATCAATGCAAGAAGCAGAAATTAGAGGAGACTATTACTTTGATAAAGATCCTGGATGCATTGGAGGACTTTGAGGATCTGGCAACTGATCACGCTGAAGTTGAGAAGTTCTTGACCAAGATCGAGAATTATGTTGAAAAGTCCGTGGACTCAGGGTCTTCACTGAGAAGGCTCATCAGGCGTCGTGTCTTGGCTGGTAAAGGCACAGAGAAAACTATCACGCTGCCTGTTATAAGCTGCGTCGAGACACTGCCACTCCAACACATGTATGGCGAAGAGCAGCAGCTTTTTATTCGATCAACAACTGCCAGGTTCCAGTCGATGTCTGTGGACCAGCTGACTCAAGTAGTCCAAGACATCCGAGAACTCGGATTCGATGGAGAAAATGCCGCCTACCACCTCCTCGTTTCCGGCTTAGCTGTCGCCTCACTAACCCCTGTCGAAGATAAGGAAAGCAGCACAGCCAAAGAACTCTCTCTTCTGTGCACCGCTGTCACGGATTCAGTTCGCCGTAGCAGGTCCATCGAACATTTTACGCTTGCTACAGAATGTCTAGATATTCTTCTGCGTACCCACACACGCTGCATTACTCAGTGGAACATCGACAGTCTTCTGGCATGTGTTGCGGTGTGCGCTTCAAAGGCTGGTCCACTAATTAGTCCCGAATATTCCGCATCAATTTATATTCGACTATGTCGGTTGATGGGCGTGCTCTTTGGTATTCACCGCCAGAAACTCGGTGGTCGTTTCCACCTAATCCTGCCTGCCATGCAGCGACTGCTTAACTGCTTGTTCGCTCGCAGTAAGAAGCGCACAAGGTCTATGCTGTCGGAGAAGCGAGCCGCTCAACAACCATTCTGGCTTGCACCCCTGCAGGCGGCTCACGCCGTGCACTTTACCCGTCTTCTCACATCACTTTGCGATCCGACCGTTTCTGCAGTGTCGAGGCCCACCCAGACCGGACTGAGCCACGAGGGCTTGACTGACCAGACCAAGAAAGCTAAGCGTATCGCGGGTCAGTATCTCCAGTATCTCATCATGGAGTATGCGGAGAGCTCCCTACGCGGCTCACTGGCACCCGAAGTCAAAACAGCCATCCTGCCAGGTCTCTACTCCGTCTTGGATGTGATGTCACGGGATACCATGCGGGCATTGAATGCCGCACTAGATGTATCCGGGCGTGCGATCTTCAAGGGTCTGTATGATGACTACGTGAAGTTCGGCAAGTGGAATAAGGGATGATGGGGCCTGTGTTGGTAAAATTAGCGGCGTGTATTAGACTGGACAGTCGTCTGGAGTTAGTGGTGGAGTCTAGTGTACTTAACAAACATTGTCTACATATCAAACTCAATGAGTGTATGACGATGCGCCTGTTTCAGATATCATTGTTGATATGTATATAGATATTGGCAGCATTGCCTACAATTCACATTGTTTGAAAACTATATGTGAGGCGACGTGTGGTATGTGCTCTCCTAGCGCCCTGTAGTCATGATTTGGCATGCGGACTTCCCTATGTGTTTTGTTGATCCAAATATGTGCCACCAGAACCATGGCCACGGCAATACGTGATGGTGTTGGCAAAGTCTTAGGATATTTTGAGTCTACCTAGAGAAGAAAATTCTATGAATGTCCTAGACCACCACACGGAATCGGAGCGAGCTGAAGAACCGTCTCTGGCTGGATTTTGTAGGTTCCTATTGTCATCAGTTGGTCTTTTTCATGAAGACGGCGCAAGCATAGATTTCCTGAGCGAGAATGGCATCATGCGGTTCATTTAGTGGTTTGTAGTGTTTGATCGCCTGGTTATGATACGCTGTAAGGCGTTCCCATCCACTATTGGCTACGATCATAATTGTAGGGTGAATGTAATATGAGAAGTACTTCTAAAGTTTTAAAGCTTTTAGTAGTTGACCTTTTAGGTTAGTAGGGCTATGGCCTTATCCAAGTTAGTCTTATCTATACGCCCGGTAGAAAAAAAAAGGGAAAGAAAGGAAGAAGAAAGAAGAAGCAAATTCTCATTTCCTGAAGGACCAGGCTCCGTGCCCAGGAACAGCGATATATATGTACTACTCTAATATCCTTTGGGTTAGTTCCTTCCTCTCGCTCCATACAGTGAATGGTCTTCGCTTTAATTGGAGCTTGGTACTAGGAGATAAGGGATATGCCACTGCAGGGTAGCTTCTAGATTTTTCTTCAACAAAATTAAGGGGGGGGAAACCTTAAAAAAGGTTATTGATTAATACTGTGAAGTCAGAGTACTGAGGATTGAGCAGGACTTTTAAGGTCTCTTCGGAGCACGTGATATCTTCTTATCGTTTATCATCCGCCGCGGGGAATACAAGGAATGGATGCAAAAGTTACTGCTTACTCGATGTGATCGAGTCAGCACGGGAGAAACGATGAGACAGCGATTAGATATGCCCAGTCCACTGACTCCACTGTGGCTCCACTCAGATCATCTTCATAGGCTGGAGATGACGGTGAAGCCCCAGTCACGTCCTGTTTGCGGAGAGCTTATCGCAGATAACGGAGGGTGGTTCACTTTGTTACTCGACCAAATAGAGCAACAGAAAACTAACGGGCGCGGTCAGCTCTCAATTTCCCCCCTTGGCGAGCGGCTCGTGGAGGGTGATAAGGAAACGGTGGCGCAGCGATCAGATGTTCCTCTTATCAGCTTTTTGTCATGAAGGTTGGTTAACTTCCTCAAGGATTATCGTGGGTGAGGATGGATGTCAATATCGGGATCTGGGGGAATCCTCATTGGTTGGCATGGGGGTGGTCGATGACGATGCTGCCTTCCCCATACTGCAACACGGAGAACCTTTGTTTTTCTTTATAAAGAAGAAGGAAGGGACGGATGAGGAAGAAACACTATCAATCATTACTAGTATTTACTACTGTACATCTCTCCCTCCATCCCTCCCACCCTCTCATCAATCTGTATTTCCTGTCCCTCTTCTCGACTTCACTTATTATCCTTATTCTATCCTGAATGTAACTTCTCTGCTGTTCTAATCATATCCTTCACTACATTTACTATCGACTTCACTCTCACTCCCACCTAAGTCACAGAAGATTCTCGAATTATGGCGCGAATCAAAGAATGGGTTGAGAAGTTGGAGGTGCCGTCGGAACCCGGCCTGACCAACACACAATTGATGTTGACGAACCATGACTTGCGGCCAGGTGAGATCATTTGAACTGGCCGGCGCATCTCCTCGAGACGCCTCTTTGCTGCCTCTTTTCCTTTGTGTACTAGACATCATATCCCCAGAGGACGAGTAAAGCTGACCGAGTGGACCTTGGGATTGCGTCGTGAGTTACAGTCGAACCCGAGCGTCGTCAATGGAAATGGTTCAACTTCGTCGCGTTCTGGATTGCGGACTCATTGAATATTGTGGGTGACAAGTCCTTCCCCCTTTCCACAGAGGAGCTTGATGCTAACAACTTCGTCTCGGAACAGAACACGTGGATGATCTCGTCCTCGATGATCGTTGATGGTTTATCATGGTGGCAGTCATGGATTTGCGTCTGGGTCGGATACTTCATTGCCGCCTGTTTTGTATGCTTGACGGGTCGCATCGGTGCCGTTTACCACCTTTCTTTCCCGGTGGTCTGTCGATCCACATTCGGCGTTTGGGGGTCGCTCTGGCCGGTGTTCAATCGAGCTGCAATGGCGGTTATTTGGTACGGTGTTCAGGGTTACATCGGAGGTATGCACACTGTTCTAGGCCCCTCACCCACACCAAGGAGTGACATATGATGCTATCATGGACTTATCTGACGCAAAATAGGCCAGTGCGTGACATTAATGATCAGCTCAATCTGGCCCAGTTACAACCACCTACCCAACTCCATTCCCGCCAGTTCGGGCGTCACAACCAGGGACTTCGTGAGCTTTTTTCTTTTTTGGCTACTCTCCCTGCCGGCCCTTTGGTTTCCTGTGCACAAACTCCGGCATCTCTTTACTGTCAAGGCAGTCTATTCACCGATTGCGGCTATCTCTTTCTTCGCCTGGGCCATCGCACGCGCCAAGGGCCTTGGGCCCATTGTGCATCAGCCACACACCGTACACGGCAGTGCGCTGGCGTGGGCGGTGGTGAAGGCGATAATGAGCTGCTTGGGCAATTTTGCGACGCTGATTGTAAACGATCCCGACTTTTCGAGGTTCGCCCGGAAACCAAAGGATGCACTATGGTCTCAGCTCCTAACAATTCCCATCGGCTTTGGAGTCACCTCTTTTATCGGTATTATTGCGTCCTCATCCTCGGCGGTTATCTTTGGCGGAGAGATGGTGTGGAATCCTCTCGACTTGTTGAGCAAATTCCTGGTTGGCGCCAGCTCGGCGGAGCGATTTGGGATCTTTGTGATTTCTACAGGGTTTGCTCTAGCTCAGTTGGGAACGAACATCTCTGCAAACTCCGTTTCCGCAGGTACGGATATGACGGCATTGCTTCCGAGATATCTTACGATCCGGCGCGGAAGCTATATTTGCGCCGCTGTTGGTCTGGCTATGAATCCGGTAAGTACCCTGACGCGTCTCCTTTGGGGGCTATCTGACAGAATTGCAGTGGAACCTCGTGGCTTCATCCAACAGCTTCACCACTTATCTCTCTGCCTATTCGATCTTCCTCTCTTCCATCGCGGGCCCCATGCTGTGTGACTATTACATCGTTCGCAAGGGTTACCTGCGAGTGAAAGAACTGTACACTGCACAGGAGGGCTCTGCATACCGATTTGTCTACGGCTTCTCGTGGCAGGCATACGCCTCGTATATTGCAGGAATCCTCGTCAATATCGTCGGCTTCGCTGGTGCCGTTGGACGCAAGGTGCCTGTGGGCGCCCAGTACATATACAACGTTAACTACTTCTCGGGAATAGTTGTGTCTGCCCTCATGTACTACATCCTGACCCGGCTCTTCCCCGTCCCCGCGACTAGCTCCACCTGGTCAGAAGTCGATCAAGATGTGGACAGTCTGTCTGTCGCGTACGGAGAGGAAGTCGACGCGTACGATATACCCGAACCGACGAAAGCAGATTCTCTAAATTATGGCACGCTCCAGGAGCGGAAAGTACCGAAGGCTGGGTCATCAGCCGCTGTATGATTAATGAGACATGATTTAAAATACTATGCTTAGTGATACTTTGCTTGACTTCATCCTTATTCGACTTTAATAGAATTGAACACGCAAGATGACAATTTTTTTATCATTCTTCAATTGAGCCTTATTATGGAAACTGTTGCTATACCCCAAGGAATATTTCGAAGCGAAAGGGCAGTCGTATTACCCAACAGCAAACTCACCATCCAAGCTCCTGATATCTTGACCACATTATTTTTAGATCGCCAAACCACGGTATCAAAACCTCGTATACACCTTCGGCATTATCATAACACCATACATTCATTTCACATAAATCACACCGTTAACGAGTAGTATATCCACCGTTAGCGAAGATGGTCTGACCAGTGATCCAGGCACCCTCCGTGCAGAGGAACCGAACAATCGGAGCGATATCCTCGACCATCGTCAGACGGTTGCCCATACCGTTGGACTTGTGAAACTCGACAGCCTCAGGAGACTCCTGGGGGTAGAAGAATGCTATTTCGAGTACTTGGTCAGACATTGTCTTCTCGCTTTTTGGACATTTCTGAGGTAACTTACGGGTGTCCATCGGTCCTGGGGCAATGTTGTTGACGCTGACGCGGCGGGATTGAAGTTCTTTGCAGACGCCTCTGTTGACGTGTTAGTGTTTATTTTTGGGATAGAACTTGTGGATAGATGAGGTGGTTTGATTATAATATGGTAACTAGGTACATACCGAGTGAAATGCTCGACGGGAGCCTTGCTACCAGCGTAGGAGGTATAGTATCCCGTGAAAGCGCCGAGGAGAGCAGTGACGATCGTGATGATCTTGCCCCCGTCCGTGACATGCGTGGCAGCTTCTTTGAGGACAAAGAATGCTGTTTTAGAGTTGATCCTGTTTATTTCCAATATGTTAGTTCCCATCACTCGTTACCTGTCCTTGCTTAGGAAATTATATATATGTAGAGCCAATAGATAGATGGACCAGGAATAGACCTACGCAAACATAGTATCATATTCCTCCTCCGTAATCTCGGTAATAGGCTTCTTGAGCACCTTGCCCACCGTGTTGACCACGATATCAATCTTTCCGAAATCCTTCAGGGCATCCTGGAAGAGCTTCGTCACGGCTCCAGCGGAGGTAAGGTTCCCTTGGTAGAACGCGACCTTGATGTTAGGGTGGGACTTCTTCAGCTCGGCCTCTAGTGTTGTAGCATCGCCCTTGCTGCCGTCGGAGTGGTAGTGGAGGGCGAGGTTTGCGCCGGAGGACGCGAGCTCACGAGCAGCAGCGGCACCGAGGTTCTTGACGCCGCCGGTGATGAGGGCGACTTTTCCGTTGAGGGCCATTTTCCCTTCTTATTCTCTTCTTAGTGTGGACGTGGGTGTGAGTGAGTTGATATAGAGGCAGAAGAAGGGTAGGTAGTTGGTTAGAGTTGAGACTGAGATGAGTACTAGTGTTATACTTCGCAGCGATCCTTGAATTCAGAAGAGGAGGAGAAAGACTCTGGACACGACAGAATGCGACCTTTTTATAATGACCTGTGGAGTCATGATGATGATGTCGTCAACCCAGACTTACTCTCTGGAACGATTTCTATCATATTCGGTTTATGGAATGAATTGAGTTAAGTATGTGTTATCCGAAAACGGTAAGCGGGGTGAGGGTCCAACTCCGCTTTGGGTTGTTCTTGGTTGGTAGCGGGTCTGGACAATCGCACGGTTTGTTAATTGTGATGTCCGATTTGGGATATTGCATATTTGCATGATCCCTTTGTTTCTGTTGTCATCAATCATGATAGTTAATTTGAGATATGGAGGTCCAATGGGAGAATTTGCGCAGGCGATTACAATCTGATTGATCTGGGAGTTTAACCGGATAGAGTGTGGCCCGTCTGCGAGTGATATCCCGATTTAGACAGAGCCACGTTGCGGTCGTGTTTTGGAGGGGCAAAGGAAAAAAAAATTAAAAAAAGACAGGTGGCAGAATGGAAAAAAAAATAATACAGAGAACTTCCTATTTAACTCCAGATCCCACGCTACTGATATTACATACATAAATATAAAGAACGACATCCCGAACGCTGTACTCAATCACGAAGATGCAAGAAAATGACCAGGATTGGGCTCGGGAGCCTGACCCGGCGCAAAGGTAGCGCCAGGATAATAGAGCGCCGATCCGTGCAGGAAGGCAGCGTTGCGGTCGATCCAGACCACTATCCGTCGGAGTAATCCATTCAGACCAAGCGCTGATAGACCGCCTCGCAACCCAACTGCCCGGGTGAGTCCTCTCATGTGCACGCTATAACTCCCCATGTCCCCGTACATCGCTTCATAACTTCCCATCTTCGCTATCGCACCTACCAGCGCATCATTGACCCGGTCCGGCGGTTGATACTTCAAGGCATCGTTGATGGCTTGGACCGCCTTGCAGCGAAGATCGAGAAGGTCCAATTTCATGCCTGCGGTATGCTCGCTCACAGACGCATAATGGGATGCTGCGAGTAGCATGATGACCAGGAAGAGGGCGCGATTTGTCATCACCAAAGGGAACCAGCTGGTTCTCAGAAGGCCCTTGTTTCCTGGTTGGTCGAGCTCGGGGATGTCCACGGCCATATGCACCAGGTCTTATAGAGTACCATCAGTACGGTTCTACTTGCTATGGATGGTGACGCTAATTTCACACTTACAGTGATCCACGAGGACCGGCATGAACGGCTTGAAGCTGGCTGGATAGGATCGAAAAGGGTCGTCTCGCAGTCCCCCGAACTGCAGAGGGATGGAGACGGTGGAGGGCCCGTCTGAACCGTCGGGAGAGTCGTCCTCGGAATCGTTTCGTGATTGCCAGGATGAATAACAGCTTATGTCCATGCAGAATGACAGCACCGCATTTCTTTTTCGCTTGAGAGACGGGCGACTCTCGACTTTCTTCCACTGGTACCGAGCCACGTGTGATCGAATTTCAGGTTCCTTAGCGAGCTGAAGAGCGTCCTTCGGCTCCTTGACATTTATAAAGACAAATTCCATACCCATCCTGAGTTCGTTGATTGAAGGAGGGGGGGAAAGTTCAATTGATTGATTGATTGATTGATATGTGTGTGTGTGTGTGATGCTATAGTACTAAAAGGGTAGCCGTCGCTACGCAAGGACAAGCGTCATTCAACACTTTGGTTTGTGTTTTTTTATTTCTTTTTCTTTTCACTTTGCGTCTCGACTGGTTACGAGAAGACAACCGTGGGAGAATTTAAGGAGATGAAGCAACTGTCATTCGTTTGGGGTCTGGATGTGATAAGTGATAATGCAGGAGAGAGGGGATCCTGTCGAATTGACTGCTCAGCCGTACCCGACCGGCACTAAAATCCTTTGATGGTGCAAAAGTCCCTTAAGTGGGGGTGGGCCCCACCAACACAGACCAATGGAAGCAGAGATCGACCATCAGTGTTAAGGATTTTAAGGAGATCTTCCTGGTTTGGCGCTGACTATCAACACTAGTCAACTTCCTCCATTCCCTTCTTCAGCTCTTTGAATGTGAATTCTCTCAGAAAACAATCCTCCCCCACAATATGATTCATGGTCGGTGACATATCTGCACAGGTCGACAGACTTGAAACGAATCATAATCCCTCGGAACTCTTTTCCCCGCAGCTGATCTTTGTCTTTTTGACTGGTGAATGGAATGCTGCGTTGCTCCCATTATCGCAATGGCAACCCGCCCCTATAATTGTTAGCGATGGGCTGCTCGCCCACGGTGTCTCCACATAGCACCTCTTTTAAGCTCATTGCCTCGCTCTATGACCCCCCCCCATACTGCTAAATACTGTAGATAGCTCGATTTGGAGAGTTGCTCTGAACCAGCTCATTGCAATAGTTGCTTCATTATATACCCCCTAGCTAGGAAGACAATGCCACAGCTACCTTGCTATGCTATTAAAGGGGTACGAATGATGGGATAGCGAACAAAATATTGCGATGTCGTGGGGTCAAAGCACTTCGCGCTCGGATGTGGTGGTGATTGAACCTAAATGATATGGTTTAATCCGCCGTGAAAGATTTGTTACCTGTCACATTTGTTCATTTAGGGGTCGTTTGTATCTTTGCTCTTGACATATACTATTCTCAGAACCTCGCGGGAAAATGACGCGTATTCGACTTGATCTAAGCCCTTTTGGTGTCATTTCATTTCGCTCAGGTCTCTTTCTTTGGGTGAAACTATATATATACTATATTGTGAAATTTCATGACGGATATCCGATCCGCCGGTGTCTGTACACTATCACCTAGACTCTTCGGTTAGCTTGCTATAGCTCGACACAATGGATGTTCAGGGATACAACAGATAGTAGTAGTAATGATCAGGAAATGCGAGAGGAATTCCACTCTGGAGTTCTATTGTTCAGGCAACCCATTTACGAGAGACACGTGCATCACCACCCACACATGTGATGTGGGGTATAAAAGCTGACGAACGCATCCTGGCTTATTCGACTGTGATTGTGATATGTATGTACCTCCATCAATAGATTTTACCATGGTCTCGAGTACGGTCTTTGTCGTCGCTCAGTTCGCCCTCGCCGCCCTGGTGGCCCATGTGATCTATCAGTGTTACTTCCACCCGCTTGCGCGCTACCCCGGACCTTTCTTGGCTCGGTTTACCAATCTCTGGTTTGTCCTAAATCTAGGATTAGGTTTTAACATCCCGTTCTACGGGCTAAATTGCCCAGCGCACTAACCAATCTACCTACACAAAGGAGACTGTTCACGTTTTTCGGCGGTCGACATCATCTGTCGGAGCAACATTTGCATGAGAAATATGGTCATGTTGTCCGCGTAGCGCCAAATTGGCTCTCGTTCTCCGACCTACAAGACTTCGATGCGATCTACAGTTTTAACAAATCGGTCGAAAAAGACGACTTCTATCTGTTTGGCCACCCTCGCGACAATCGCGTACCGAGCGTATTCGCTTTAAAAACTGATGCAAATCATCGACAGAGGAAACGTAAGGTGGTTGGGCCAGCCTTGACGAGCGCGAAGATAACAAGATATGAATCCGTTATAACAAAGCATGTGGATCTCTTCTTGACGCGGACAGACGCCGCGTCCTCGTCAAGACAAGATGGCGAGATGGCCGCGGTGAATCTGGCACCGCTGTCTCATCGGTTCACTATGGACGTCATGCTTGAGCTTATATATGGTCCCGATGTCGTCTCCCACCCGTATACCGACTCCCCGACCGGGGCCGATATGTGTTCAGTCATGCGCAAGTTGGTTAAGATGGCGTGGAGCTTCTCGCTCTGCCCATCATACGGCTGGATCATGAACAGCCGTCTCATCAGTGCAGTGTTGCGCACGCTGACCACCAGCAAACAGGGCGGTCCCACAGGAATGATGGCACTCATGACTTCGAGCCACACGATGATCTTTCGGCGTCCTGAACAGGTTGGCCTACCTGCACAGCCCGGGATCGTAAGAAGTTGGTTAGATATTCCCCTTGATGATTCCAGTCGGATGACTCAAGATGAAGTATTTTCGGAGGCAGTCAACCTGGTGTTTGCCGGACCGGGTAGCGTAGCTGCGGCTCTAACGGCCATGATCTACCAATTGGGAACACAGGAAGGTCAAATATGGCAGGAGAAGCTACGAAAGGAGACTGATGTCGAAACACTACCATTCTCCCTCGAGCTTCAAGCAGTTGTTAAGGAGACTCTGCGTCATTGTGCCTCTTTTCCCACAGCTTTTCCTCGAGTCATCAGACCCGGTGCCGAAACTGTAGTATCCACTCTGCCAGCTCCACTCCCCGTCGGTACCATGGTGTCGGCAAATACCTATGTTTTAGGCCGGTCACGTAAAATTTGGGGCAGCGATGCTGATCAATGGCTTCCGCAGCGATGGCTAGGGGACGAGTCACTACGTCGGGAGATGGAAGCCAAACTGGTGGCTTTCAGCAAAGGGTCGCGAAGCTGCGTTGGTAAAGAATTAGCCTGGCTGGTCCTTGCAAAGGCGATCATAGCCATCATTCGACGCTGGAAGTTTGTGAGCGTAGGAGAGCTTCGGGGGAAGAGCTATTTGGAAATGCAGTATGAGGATTGTTGGATTGAGTATGAAGAATTGGCGTGAGCTTGTTGATACGGTAATGACACATGTGTATTCCGTACTCCGTACTTAACGCTTGAATGGGAGTCGGGGATTGACTTCATTAATTTATGGGTTGAGTCACGACGTGGCTGAGCTGAGTTGAGCTGAGCTTTCCTTCCATTTCGGGAGCCCGATGAGGCAGCTCAGCCGCGAGTGAGATCTTTAGATCTCAAAAGATCTACATCGCCTAAAGTCAACGATCCACACTCCCTCTCCACCAGAGGCGAAATTAATTCGCTCTTAGCATATATAACCCAGAGTTTCGCCAGCACTAATTTTCTGTCTTCCATCTTTCCTTGTCCACCGAGATCTGCTGTCTCCTTTGGACTCTTAACGGGAGTCAACATTCTATTGGTACCTAATCCAAGAGTTGATCATCTCAGGTACTCATACCCACTACATCTCTCCCTTCGCGTCTCTCTTCCAGTTAGATCGTCAATCTGAGAGAAGTAATCATGTCTACCTCCGGAGCTCTCCCGCAAACCCTTCGCTCCATCACCGATATTAAAATCACCGAGCTTTCCAAGCAGCGCTCGCTCTTCGAGAAGCAACGAGAGGGGATTCTCAAAGCCGCGGCAGACGCACCCGATCTGCGTTCCAAGGCTCGGGCTCTCTTGGAAGGAATCACCAAGCTCAATGGCTACCCGAATGATGCTTTCGACCGAGAGGATCTGGATACGCATTCTGGAGAGTCAGAGGCCGAGACTACTGTGCAAGATAGTACCGCCCGTGCTGTCCATGTCAATATCCGCCGCTTTCTCCTGCAGAGCCAGTTTGATCCGTCAGTGTCGGATCGGAGCCTAGGCGATTGGGTTGCGCAGCTCGAGGAAGAGTTAAATTTCCTGCATACCCGGCACGAACATGCTTCATTCTACAGCAACCTGGTCACGGAGTGGCTGACCGGTCTTGAGACCGAGGAGGACGCTGCCGAGGCTAAGGAAGCCACAAGACGTGCGGAAATGCAGGAACAGCGAACGACGTGGGAGCAGTATGTTTTCAACGACGCGAATGTGGATGAAAAAACAATCAATGAATACCTTGACGGTCTGTTCACAAAGACGAATCAATCTCAGCAAGCGTTGAAAACCCTGCGGCAGAAGATGAAGACCTTTGGAGATGAAAGTACATCGACACGCACTCATTTTGACGTTGACACGCTTAAGTGGGTGAGCAAGGCCCTCTTAAGATCAGACTCTCTCACCAGGGAAAAGTCCGAAATCCTGAAGGATTTTATGCTCAACAAGGCTGTTGCCCAGGAGGTGGCGGATGTTTTAAACATGCGTCTCGCGACCCTTGACAACTGGCACTGGCCGTCCGACGGTCTTCCTCAGGAAATGCGTCGCCACCTGAACGGCAAGTACCGGGTTTTTCAAGACGAGGATCTGCTGGATAGTCTTCTGTTCCAGTATATCGGGCTTCACTGGGCGGTGACTTTCCGGGATGCATTTGTCAATTTTCAGAAGACCTGGGCCTGGAAAAGCCTGCGCCAGCGTATCTCAAAGTCGGAGCGGGTACGGCGTCAGCACTTCCTCGGTAAGGACCACGCGCGGTGTGTCAGATCCGTGAACCAGGAGAGACGCGATGTGTACAGAAATGAGTATTTCATGACTCAATTACCTCGTTCATTAACTACAGGTGGGCTGGGATACGATGATGAGAACGACACCGACGATGTTGAGGAAGCGAACCGCAAGAACGCCCTGGAGACAAAGCACTCGCTCCTCCATCTCCTGATTACAGAGTCTATCGTGCAGACCCGGATTCATGGACAATTCACGGCTATTCGGTCGGACTTCAAGTACTTTGGGCCGTCTATCCCACATACCACGATGCTCACGGTGTTGGCGTACTTTGGAGTGCCACAGGGTTGGCTCGATTTCTTCAAGAAGTTCCTGGCATGCCCCCTCAAGTTTACTCAGGACGGACCAGAAGCTCGAGTGCAGACCCGTAGACGCGGAATTCCCATAAGCCATACACTCTCGGACTGCTTCGGGGAAGCTGTGCTGTTCTGCATGGATTATGCAGTGAATCAAAGCACGGATGGTGCGTACTTGTATCGCATGCATGATGATTTCTGGTTCTGGGGTCAGAAGCAGACTTGTGTCAAAGCTTGGAATACTATGACCGAGTTTGCTCAAGTGATGGGTCTCGAGTTTAACGAGGAGAAGACCGGGACAGTGCATCTTGAGAACAAAGACAAATCCGGCCAACAGCCATATCAAGACCTGTCTTCCTACACAAAGACTGAGGAAACCGAGGGCTCGGATACTCTACCTACCGGCGACATCCGATGGGGGTTTTTGAAGCTTGATGCCCAGGAGGGCCGATTCACCATCGACCAAGAGCAAGTGGACAACCACATCTCGGAGCTCCAACACCAGCTCTCTGCATGCAAGAGCGTCTTCTCCTTCGTTCAGGCATGGAATAGCTACTTCGGTCGCTTCTTCGTGAATAATTTCGCCAGGCCGGTCATGTGCTTCGGGCGGAGTCACATTGATATGGCCATCACCACCCTTAACCGTATTGAGCGCACTATCTTCCCTGATTGTCATAGCGGCGTCACTGATCACCTTCGAAAGATGATCGCTGAGCGCTTCGATATCCACGATCTTCCCGAGGGCTTCTTCTACTTCCCCGTTGAGTTTGGCGGCCTCGAACTGACGAACCCGTACATTCCTCTTCTTGCTATCCGCGAGAACATCGAATCAACACCTTCCGGCCGCCTTCAAAAGGCCTACAACAAGGATGAGGCCGAATATCACGCTGCTCAAGAACGATTTGAGAAAGACGGGCCTGAGGAACCAGCCTCTGATGAAGTTTTCGGTGACGATGAGGACCCGACTGCTTTTATGTCCATTGAAGAGTACACCCGCCACTCAGAGACGTATAGTGACCACCTTTTCGACGCATACCATGATCTCGTCTGCACCCGGCGCGAAGTGATCATCGACCAGTCACCCAAATTTCGCACCAACCAGATGACATTGGAGGAGGACCCCAGCAGCCGTCTGGTCCTTTCAAACAACTGGGATTCAATGCCACCGTACTGGAAGTGGACCGGGGAGCTGTACCAGGGAGAGATGGTGAAGAAGTATGGAAGTTTGGCCGCAGTGAGTAAGGAGCTCATGCCATTGGGAGTCGTGCAGACCTTGAAGCAAGGCAAGTTTCGGTGGCAGGGTTAGTTTGCATTAGATGCCCTTTACGTTGTGTTATATTCTAGGCAATAAAAAAGTGCTGTTCAGTTGATATTTATGCTTCTCATGATATCATTCATCGTAAGACAGGTATTATAGAAAACGAGAATGTAATATCACTCTCTATAACCGGCCTCAAACTCATCTAATAGTCTACACAACCGCTTCTTTTCCTCCTCGCCTCCAAAGATCACTCTAACAGCTCTTCGAGCTATATCCACAACATCGGCGCGAGTGAGTTTGAAATGCTCCGCCGCAAGGAAATACTCATTCGACACAGGACTACAAAAGAAGCCCACATCATCCGTCTATACACGATTAGCATTACCGCTTCCACCCTCTTACCCAACAACAACAACAAATGAAAAAGAGAAAAGGAAAGAAAGAAGAAAAACTCACACATAGCACAACCGGACACTCCTCAACCCTCCACCACTCCCGAAAATGATGCTCCAAAAACCCGCCATCAAAAAGCCTCGCATGAACATTACAACTCATACACAACTCCAACCCTACCTTTTGCCGAATAATCTCCCCCCTCAGCTCCTCAGGCACATGAATAACATGCCCTAACCGATCCGGCTCAAACGATAATATCGTCTCCAGCTCCCCCTCCTTCGGCGGTGTCCTCACTTCCGCAAAATGCACCGTAACGCCCAACCCAGCCGCCTTGGCCTTCGCCAGCGCGGGGCCGAAAATCGCCATATCCCCCTTACTCGGGTTCCCGGCGATGTCCACCCCCACGACAAGCGGTTTGTGGGCAATGGCTAGGTTGACGACGGCATCTGCGTCGGCAGGGGTGTGCTCACCGCGGTCGAGGGCGAGGATGAGTCGGGTTGTTAGGTCGGGGTGGCGATCTGTGAAGGTAGTTATTGTGGAGAGGATGGTTGTTATGTAGGATTCTTGGGTGAAGTTGGGGCTGGGGCGGGGGATCGTGCGGAGTTCGAGGTATTTGATGCCATCGGCGTGGAAGTCGGATAGGACGGAGGTTGTGGCGTAGGTTATTGAGGGTAGATCGGTGAGGAGGTGGTAGGTGAATGTGCCGAAGGTGTTGAAGAATCTATATTTCTCATCTTATCATCAATCATCATCCTCCTCCCTCGTCCGAAACGCTATATTGATATTGTATGGCTGATTACGATCCTCGTTATCCAGTTGGAGGGGAGCACAGACGTATCAAGTGTGTAGTCCACCTTGCCCGGGGGCATGACGACCCAGGGATCTGGGAGGTCAAATGTGGGGTCTGCGGCGCGTTTTTGGAGCCATAGTTCGTGGAGACATTGGCGGCTTATGCTGCCGCTGAGGTGGGCGTGGAGCTTGGTTTTGGGAATGGTTAGTTGATGTTGATTTCGTTTTGGGTAATTGATCTTGATCTTGAGTTTGTGGGAGAGAGGGTGCGTTTGCGGGGTTGGTTGATTGGAGTGGTTAGATAGGGATGTTTAGGTTGGAGGATGTTACATACCTCGATTTTGGGGAGGGATTTGGTGAAGGCTGCATCGACTGGCCTTGTGGTGTTCATGTTGCGGGGGTCTATTGGTCTATGGACGCTTTCTATAATGGTGGTAGTAGAAGTGGTAGTGGTGGTGGTAGTGGGCAGGAGGTTATGTTCTTTTCTTTCGTTTATGATGTGAATGCGGGGGAGATTTGACATGTTTGTCTATGTTTTCTTTGGGCTTGTCTGGTTACTCGTTTCTTTGAGAGGGTTTGGTCTCTAAAGAGGATCTTCGAAGAAGTTACTGTTTCTTTGTTACTGTTTTTAGGTCTGTACGGTTGCTTGGTTGTTTTCTTGTACGAAGACTCTTGCATCCAATGCGGTGGTTATCAATATGTCTGAGAGTTCAAGATGACTTTGGCAGCGATGCTTCCCTGTCAAATGACACATGACGTCTCCGGCACTTCTCAAGCCAATTTTACTTCAAATTATCCTAGCGGAAGTGATTTTAAAAGGAGATACAAAAAAAGAACAAGAAGAAAAAGTTACTCCCTGTTTCATCTTCTGATACCAAAGTCTAACGACTAGTCCCGTGTCGCAATCCTAAGAAACATGACTCTAGAGGAACTGAATCGCGAGAGGGAAAGAGCCGCAAAGTAACCACTGGGGCAATACAAGCCCTCGTTCGTAGTTACATGAATCCTAGTCCCTGTCTGCAGCTTCGTCGTCCCGTCTGACATGCCATCCTACGGGTCCGGATACGGCTTGCAGCCCAACCACACGGGAAGTAAGCGTGTTTGATATGGACGATCAGGTATGTAATGTCCCCATCGGGCAAGTAGTTATGGGACTTGACAGCTCGTTAACATAAGAGTAAAAGGCTGTGTTGGAGTTGTTAGGTTCAGTAGGACGTTTCAGTCAAAACCGCATATCCCGTCGGCTAGTTAGGGTTCGTAAGGTGGATGTTACTGGTATCCATCCAATCTGGTGTGGGTCTGACGGCCGAGTGTTCCCAAGATTCGGGGAGATGAAACGTGGATCGTGTGTTATCTTATTCTGGTCTGGTCGGTTTTGTCTGTACGTAGCCTACCGTTTTGGGCGAGTTCTGCTATTATCCCTCGCTTTTGTGCTATAGTGCTAGAGTTTGTCAATCTGGCCGTGAAACTCGCATGTATACCCGTTGCCATCTGGTGTGCTCTTGGTTCGCGAGAATTGCTCGCGAGGGTATGTTTTATTATTGAGTCAATTAATTCATATTGATTGTACCTTGATCAGGATGGCTATTGCCGTAAGGCCCCTCTTCTCCTCGGCTTGTGGATATGTCGAGATTAACACTCATATCAAGATACCGTGTGATGTCTTTGGCAGATCCGCGAGAACCCCATTCGCAATATCGATTCAATCGCAGTACTTACACGAACTGATATGAAGCATACGTTGCATCCTGTTAGTCAGTCTCGTGTAAATTGGTGCCTTGCGATCCAAAGTTCGGATCTAATGAAAAGTGGAGAAAAGCGGCAGCCAAGGGCTGTAAGGCAAATAATGGGAGGGTCATAGAACAAGGCAAGACGGGAGAAAAAAAAAAAAAAAAAAAAAAAAAGAAAAGAAAAGAGAAGAAAAAAAAAAAAAAAAAAAAAAAAAAAACTAGAAGACCAGTTCCGGAAGTCTGGTAGCCGGGGAAGCCATTCATTGTCTGACGATTATTCTGTAGCAATCAGGGATAATTCCCATCGTGCCGTGTTGGGGGTCCTAAGCCTCATCATACATCGACTAACATCGTTGGCTGCCTCTCCCCACCAAGGTAATCGCAAGGAATTAGTTCCTTTGTTTAAAGCAACTGTGTATGACCAGTACACGTTTTAAGAGCGGCTTCCTCTGTGACGTTAGCCGTATGCAATCATCCGTGAGGCGGCCGTACGTTGCCTGCCAATGCGCCAGAAAAGCAATGGAACGTTATGTGCTGCCTCCTCCCCAAAAAGGACGCGGCGCAGCACCGTAGCACAGACAAGATTCCAATCTGATAATATCATGGCTGGATATGGCCCTACTAGTGTTATCCCCATTGGGTACTGCACATGCATCATCCTGCGTGTTGTCCCACAGCCTCCGTGGGGGCCTCTCGCCCCGATCCTAGTCATAAAAACCGATGACATACGACTGGGATTGTCCGGGACCCCGGCACTGAGACATCCAGAGCCTTGTCTCTGTGCGGCGTGCACCACCGCTTGTCGCAGTTAGTGTCCAGTTTCCCGCGTTTGTGTGCGTTGTGCGCGCTAGTCGTCGAAGAATTCTAGAAAAGAAAAACATGCTCCGTACCATGTTGATAATTGGCCGACGGGCGTTTCCATGGAGAAAAAAATCGTCCTATTTTTAGTTAGAAAACCGGGACTGAGTCACAGTGGAAACAGACAAAGTCCGCCTTGAACACGCTCATTGGCGATACCTCGACTTAGTGACCCGTTGCCGATATGGCCAAGTTTGGTAAAACCAATAATCGTCTGAAATACTCCGTATCATTCATGTGTAATGGTATTGACGCCGGCCGTAGAAGATACTGTGAGTGAATTCACGAAGCACAACACAAGGGCATAATCTTATTCCTGCCCCTGGTCTTCCATAGTTGTGCGCGCCAAATTGGTGCATAATTTGTACGGCAGTGGCGCACTGCTATCGGTTCGGACCGAGAGTAAAGTGAAAGGCAAAAGGAGCGAATGCAGAAGTCCACTCAAATGAAAGAAAAAAGACGAGGGATGATGGGAAGCACAAGAACAAGCATTATGCAGACTGAAAGAAAAGAAAGGAAAAAAACCACTTGATACTCATGTGTATATACCATGCTTTAAAGCTTCAAGTGACATGAGACTACACCGTTTAACTGTGAAAGATTATCTATGGTGAACCGGCCAATGGCGGTAAAAGCTTCGGCGGCTCAGAGAGGCTTGAAAGGGTCAAAGAGAAAATGGCACAAACCCGCGTAAAAAAAAATCCCTAAGGCAAAAGGAAAGGATAAAAAAAGATGGACGAAAGGTCGGCAAGGGACGGATACAGCATCAAGTGAGATCGGAGCAAACCCCGAATTAAAACTCCTGCGGCTGATAGTTCCGCAGCAACAACCCCTACCATTGCCACCGCAGTGGGCCTGCCCTAGTGATGGTACTCTGTATCAATCGCGCGATATCAGTAACGGCTGTTTTCGCGATTGCGGCTTGTCCAAGCCTCGGCAGATATCCACTGGTGGCTTCGCATCTCAAGCTGATTTTTATATCACCCAGCAGTAGGCACACACGTCAGATGGCAGCCGTGTAGTCGTCCGAGAACTGCCCCAGCAAGTATACGGATGCTTATGGCGGCCAATAACGGTATCTGTAAGCAAGAATGGAGTCCTGGAGCGGCACTAGATTCGCCAGAGGTGGGTTTCATGAGGGTGAGCTCTGACCTCGCATTCCGTGGCAAACAGCCAACCCGCCTGTATACAGCCATAAAGGAGGGGGGTTGAGACAGATTAGAAAGCGAAGAGCGACCAAAGTTAAAAAGGAGATGAGGCAACATTAGGTATCAATGATCACGAGGCTCCATACGCAGGTAAGATGCGAACAAAGGCGTTGCTCATGCAAGCCGTCTCATAATAGGAGCGAGTTATGGATTATCAGCAAGCCACGAGCACGTTGTCTGGCTGGCTGAGAAGTCCGGCACTTGTGAACCCGACTGGACTATGTGCTGTATTGCTGGGAACAACCACAGGGGATTTGATAGCCTGAACGCGAACCCTGGCAGCATGAATGACTGGGGCTGGGAAAAGACTGAGAAGTATCGAAGACGCATCGAAGGATTGATGTGCATTCAGCTGAACTGAGCCTCAGGCAGAGATAGTGTTTGTTTGATTGCATGGGCTATTGATTTCCTGGTGGTGCCCCCAAATTACAATATTACTCGATGTTACACAATCCGTTTTTAGTTTCCATATACTCCGTACCTTCCTACCTATGAACACAGAAACGCCTTGCACTTCATTGAAAGAAAACTTTGATTACCCTCTGTTGGGGAGCGATAGCTGTGTAACATGATTGAGTAATTCCTAGCGCAAATGGTAATTTGTAATCGTAGGCTCATTGGCTTAATGGATAGAAGATTACAGTTTTCTAACGAGGACCCCGGCTCAGGAGGCGCAACGTTCCATCCAGTTGGGAACGACTCATTTTGCCTTGTAATTATTCGTTTCAAAATTCTTTTCCTTTTCGTCTTTTTCCCTCCTTGCGCTGTGGCTTTGGACACGACCGGTACCTGAGTCACCTTTTAAGTGATGATGTAGTAGACCATTAATCAAAGTTCTTTAGCAACGAGGAAAATTTCTGTTTTCGTCAAGTGGTCTCCTGAAGATCCGAGTCGCGACAACCCGTCGCCTGAAGTTAAAATACACTACCATTGGTGTTCAGAGACAATCTTTATGTTTCCCAGTTGTTCTAATCCCGAACTTTTACAATACGCAAGGCAGATGGCCAAGCAATAATTCTAATCAAACTATCAAATTATCTCTGGGTTGTTTTACTTATGATAGGCTTGTTGTGCGCTGAGCTACAACGCCCCATAAAACCAGAATGTTCGTTGTTTTGTACGGATGTATGTATGGTAATTAACCACGTAGTGTAATGACATGACAGCTTACGATAACGATTACCACGCTAATGCAGTTGATGTGGTAAGATGGTAACCACTATGCTGGGATACAATATCTCTCCTTTTCTTTCGTTCTTTCTTTTTTTTTTTTTTTTTTTTTTTTTTTCTTTTTTTTTTTTTTTTTTTTTTTTTTTGACCTTCCCCTCAGTTTCTCTTTCAAATGAACTCCCTTTGGGTCCTTCTTCCGCTTCGGATGGTGGGGAAGCACTTGTGTGCTACCTGGTTTATGATGTCATAACGTCCGTTCGTCACTTAATTGATCAACATAAACATTCAAGTACGAAATTTGGTCTTACTCGAGGGAGCAAATCACCGATTACGAGGCGATCGAGCAATCCCACTCGGGTCTTCCATACGTATACTAGAAGTTGTCATGGTGCGTCCAATTGAAGGTATGATTTTTTTTTTCTTTTTTTCTTTTCGTTTTTGTAAATGGGGAAAGGGTAGATGAGATAAAATAAAAAATAATATAAATTCTCTTCTTCACGATTTAACAAAACATAGAGGGTTAAGAATGGAGCCCGACTGAAGTACATACAACAATTAAAATAAAAAATAACAAAGGCATAAGGGAAGCATTGGAAACATTACAAAATACCTGATAGACTATATTTCTGCCTAGTGTGATAGGGAACAAATGATAGGAGAGCTCAAGGATTAGAGAATAAAGCCAAGGGTTTTGCCCGTTTAATGCGTTCATCACACGCTTTGTTCGTGATCGTAGCCAGGAGTCCTCGGATGCAAGATCCTCAGTGGGAAACCCGCGATGGAAGGGGATTGGAAGCTGTCAAGTGGCCAAGTGGGCCACCGTTAAAAAACCTCTCCACGAGGCCGATGGAATGGGCCAATGACCATTGTCGGTTGGATTCCCTGCCCAGCAGGGTTGGTCCCCTAGTACTAGTAGTTAGTAGTGCCTAAGGGCTTTCCAGGTTCAACCACATTATCGCTCAGGGGTGGTCACCACCAATGAGTGTAAATCATTGGATCATAAAAGGAACCCAACGGTCTGAGTGACTCAGCCCCGGTAAGATGCCGAAATTGAGCACTATACTAATGCAGTAGACAGACTAGATAGGTAACAGTCTCAGTAATATGTGCTCAGCCAGCGATCCACAGTGATGAAATGAGATATGTATGTATGTATTTATGTATTGTATGTGCATACATAGAAAGTCAAGAGGCATGAAATGTTGAGCCTTAATGCCATCAATTATTAATGAGACCAATGCTACGTTGATACTACGGTCTCAGGCAGTCAAACCCTCAGGATCCTAAAAATTTCCCGGAGTCTCGGTACCTTAGGTTTTAGCCTTGACTGAGCTGGTAAGAGTAGCAAACATGACCATCCTGGTAGCCGGTGTTCCCGGTGCGAATGAAATGTTGCACTACTGGTCACGGGCTCAGAAACCGAAGCCCATCGAATGATATCCCTTTCTTGATGGACTTTCGTGGCACGTCAGAGCACGGTTGAGTGGTGCTCGTGGGAGGCGGAGGTTAGATTAGCAGTACGGAGAATTATCCTCCCCCCCTCCCCCTCTTTTGATCACCATGATTATCAGCGCCGGTTACCTACTCAGAATCAACGTTCCAAAATTGACTGAACTGATGACATGACAATATACCATATACACACAGACCTCGGACACTAATACTTCCCTAAGGGTAAAGATAAATAAATATTAATAAAAGAACGCAAGGAGCAATCACAAGTCTTAGAGCACGCGAGACGGTGACAACCTAAAACCATGAGCGTTGTTCTCCGCTTTATTTCCCCTCTGATCATCGCCGATGTTATAGATTGTATGGGGGGAGGGGTAGGCCTACAACGAATTGTTTCTCTCCCTATGAGGTATCTATGTACAGCACATGCAGTAAAAGCCCTGGAAAGGTGACCCTACTAACAAGTACCATCGGGTAGCCAAGACATTGAAACATCACACTAGCAAGAGGTTTAGGCCTCTTATCGCCCGCTTCCTACGGAGATTTATCTATAAATGTACATATGTACAGCCGCGCGTTGATCTTAGGGAATATAAACTGATCTGCTACAACTCCTTGCGTCATGGCAGTGTATTCACTCGTAGGTGAGACCCTAAATAAAAGGATTCCAGTATTATGTACATTACCCCCTGATACAGATTCCCGCCACAGCCGCGATATCAGTTTTGATCCATCGGTCGGGGTTTTTATCGGGTATCGATCTTATGACAGAGGAGATGATGAATGTATTTGCTTACTTTGCTTTCATACGTATGCCCACGTGCCATGAGCACCCTAGTAGAGTCTTTATTATTCCAGCAAAAGCAGTAGGGGATTTAGGATAAGAAGAAACAAGGAAATATCATTGTAATACCTACTTATGCATCAGGTCATTCGCATCCCAAAAATAGCCTGCCATTGGAGGAGGAATCAGCCTTGTCTGGAAAAGGCTAATGGAAGCCCAATTTTTTGAGACATTAAGGTTGGGAGGCATACTAGTTAATCTAATCAGACCTTGCCTGCTCCATGGAAGGATGAAAGAACCTTCGATGAATAAATGATTTGGTTGGACGCTGTGCCGATAATGCCCGATAGCCGACAACATCATTTCTTCAAAGATCTTGGTAGGGATGATATCGACGAAGAAGAACAAAGAGACATTGCTTTATCTATATTTAGTCGCTTTTTTGCTCATTGTTAACTGTATATCACCCAATAATACTAATGATCATGTTATCCCTGTTAAGTAAATTTAAAAAACAAACAGAAGTATGTGTGCATCGAAATTGCTCTAAGAACTGGCTGACATAGGATTCCGGGGAGGGGAAATGCGCAATTTTGGTCTGCCTAAAGCGAATCTCCATCATCCCACTTTCTGATGACCATTATGCCTCATCAATGACCAGTGGTGAGCTGGATACTCAAAATGACAAGCAGAACAAGGAAGATAAGCATTGCCAACTCAGCAACATGGCTCAGCTGTAGTGCGGGGTTCACACCCCACGAACCATCTTTTTTTATTTTATTTTTTTTTCTCGCACCTGTTTTGAGGGTCCTATGGTTGCCTCCCGCTTTTGGGAGTCACGATGCATTCAAGCTGACCGCATTATTATCTGTTTCTGGTTTACTGCCAAGGCGTGGTCTGTGGGAGCAATACGGGAAATGTATGACCTGTTAGCCAACTTCGTTGGTGTCCAACGACACAGGCATTGGTAGATGGGATGATTACCAAGTAGAAGCCAACTCCGTAAGTTCTTTATCTCATAGGGTAGAGGAGTGGAGAGAATGAAGAATAAAAAGATATGTTCAAATAAGACCGATTGGATAGCATGCAAAACAGGTCCACGAGTTCAATGCTTTATCAATTCTCAATATCGCCTAAGCTATGAATCGTGAATTACACTCAACGGACAAAACAAAAGGCGGACTGACCGCTCTTCCAAGACGGTGAGAATGTACTGTGATACTAATAATAGTGGCTAGTAATGGCCTCAACATGTCCTAAGTAGACAGTTAACAATAAGCCCTCAATAGTAGGGTATAACCCACAAACATTGATCGTACCAGTAGGTTGTATTTCTCGTTTGTAAGAAAAGGAAAAATATTACCCGGTTGTGGGAGGAAATACCTGACTAATTACTAGTTCTCCAAGATCAGTATGGGGCTAAGTTGCTGCCTATGAGAAACCCCCAAAGGATCTGCTGACTAGCGGTTTAAGATTCATCGTTTCATCATTCTTACCGCTCCATTGTCGTGATGATCTTTCTTTCTTTCCTCCCTTCTCACGCACCGCCCCGCCCGTGATTCCACTGCCACTGCCCTAGCCTCAAAGACCAATGCATAGGGCAATTGAAATCCATTACTAAGGCTAGTAATCGTATTTTTACGCGTGGTACGGAGTACAATTTCTGTACCTGTCTTCTAGCAGTAGTATGTTAAAATCACCCCGCGTTCGACGTGGTAATAGAATGTTTTCCCACTCGACTAGTGTAGTTCTACATCGCGATGACTCAATTTTAAAACAAGAAATAGTTTTGTAATGTTTTAGGTAGTAGTGGATTACTGTATCTATCTTTCCCTTCCGCCCACGTACTAGTATCTCCCAGCATCTGCGAACCTTACATAGACGAAAAGAACCACTTAATACTCCACTGTCTTGTCGACTAGGGATGAGCGGCTTCAACCGTTTTTTTTTTTTTTCTCTGTTTCCGGCAAACCCGCCCTTCTCCTCCCCTTTGCCCCCCTTAGTAGTACCATGCCTCACAGCATCATCGCACATTGATTTTCTGCAGTGCGAATGCATCCTTGACCAGAAGGCAATAGTTGGATGTCAACAACCCAGTCTCCTGCTCATTCTAAGACATAGATCAGGTGACAAGCACCCCGATTGCCGGAATTTTGAGTCATTGAACTATTGGACCGAACTATTCATATTGAACCGTTGACCTACTACTATACATGTCCTAAAGTGCGGAGGGATGGCGTGCAGCTTCACTTACCACTTTCGGGGAAGCAACGCAGAGTTATCCACAGGGATAAGGCGGTTTAGTTCAACAACCCGCGACCTGAAACTCTAAAGCTTGCAAGAATGAAGGGGATTGAGATGACGATAGACGATGATGATCGTATGCGATCCACATAATTCTTCCCTGGAAGGACCGCAGTATCGGTGCTCTCAAATTCTGTAACACCAGATATCAAATCCTATGCGGTGGGCAATCAATAGTCGTTTATTGTTGGCAGTGGATCGTTGGTGTGGCATGCTTCGAATTTTTTCTAGCGTAGTAAAGAAGATTGAAAGAAATGACAGTGGATTACTCCGTTCTCCGTATCACGCAGCCCCCATCATGTCTATGGGGAACGGGTTCTTCTGTGGGGATTCTTTTTTCGAAAAGGAAGGGCATGCAATGCAATTTGTTACAACTATGGGATGACCTGTATCCACAAGGTCAGCCTATCGAGTAAGTCGCACAGGCACTTTTCAACCTACTAGGGCTTTCCACTTTGCCCCCTTTCCTCCCTAAGGAATTTTTGTCGAAAGACCCCGAGATAATACCTAAGAATCAGGTGAAACTCGGCCTGCCCACAGCCAGTGAGAGTGTGCCGACCTGCAAGATTGACAGTGCTATCCTTCAAGGGATGATCGTCCAATGGTGTAGCAGATCAGGGTCTGTTTATTGGAAGATATTTCATTGTCCGCTCTGGTACCCAAATGATGCTCTCTCCAGGATTACAGGTCACGTTTCCGCGGGCCCTGATACCTTGGTACTTGTCATATACGTTTAATAACCCGGATAACTTCCATTCATACGAACTGCATGATAAGCGTACCTAGGCAGAAGTGTCAAAAGCAAGTACATGGAATAAGATAAATATTGAGGTCAGCCGACCCGAATTCATCTCAATATCAAGGCGATCCTAGACTTCCGGGTCTCGGTTTGTTTAGTATTCCAAGGGCAAAAAGGAAACACAAAAAAAAAAAAAGAATGAACAATATGTGCAAAAATAATATTCTTTTTATTTTTTGGCCAAAAAAGGCGAGAATACTCCGTAGACAAGCTGCCACAAACCATGACGATTAGCTTCAATATTTTCTTGGGCCGCCGTTGCTATGCGTTGTTCACAGCTCACCCGCAATGAAGTTTCAAGAACATCTGCCCAGCGACAAACGGCCCAGTTTGATTAGACTACATACCAAATTTACCATCCCTTTCCTACTCCTCATCATTTTAGTATATAGATCGTAAACTCCTCCCGGCCGTCCGTCATTGCCACCATGATCATTGATTTTTATACTTTTTCTTGAGAGTACAGAAGATCAACGGAAGCAGATATATTTGACTGCACGATATTCGTTTCCCCTCTTATTTCATTTTAATTTCTCTGGCTATACCTGAACGCCGCTGCTATCACCACTGACGGCCACTACCATCACCATTCCATCTCGTCTGGTTAGATCATCATTACATTGTTAGACGTTGTTTGGTACCGAAAGTCTAAGCGGTGTAATTTTCAACCCTTGTCTGACTCTTTCGGTTGTTCGTTCTCGTTTTCAACTTCTCAGTGGACCCGTGGCCGAGAAGAATAATAAGAGGAAAAAAAAAAAAAAAAAAAAAAAAAAAAAATGGATAAAACAACAGGAGCAAAATTAATAGAAGAAAGGAAAAAAAAAAAAAAAAAAGGAAACAGAAAAGAGGGAAAAGAAAATAGGCGGAAATACACATTAAGGTACTGTACAGATCCAGTTACCCGTTACGGCGTCTGTACGAGTACCGTGGACCGTGACCATACTGCAATACGTACCACACGACATACAGTACTCTGTACGTCAGTAAGCAGTACCCACTCCAGCTTTCTTTCAATTGAAACATCCAGTGGTTTCTTCCAAATCGAGCCTTCCACAATTCTTTCTCCTCAAATCTCCCTGTTGGTTCAACTTTCACCACTCATCTAAATGGAAAATCCTTAAGAGGACTATCGAATCCTTTTTTTTTTTTTTTTTTTAACATCTCTTCAGTACCTACGTCGTCCGCAGTTCTTCGCCTTCCTCCCTCCCGCAATTTAGTTACCCGAATTTCTTGGAGCACGCTGCTGGCACAGTCTCCTCGCTATTCGTCGCATGATCGTCATTTCTTACTTACATCCTGGCGGCTTTTTTTTTTTCTGTCGCTGCAGGTCCTCTACGACCCTACACGTAACCGTGCAGCATTACCTGAAACGGCGAGACTTCGAAGCGCACTAGGGCATCGCAACCTTAGCGACTACTGAGCTCCGTCCAATCTCTGATTGCTCCCCCAGCATCCTCCTTCTTCCTGTTTGGACCGCCTGCATCACTGTGCTGGCAGGCAATCCTGCATTGCAGCTCGGATCCTCGTCGCCGATTCTACATTTCCCGTGCTGCACCTTCCCAAATTACTTTTAGAACCACGCCAACTGACGCGAAAACTGAATTTCTTTGCACAATTACTCAAAGCGGAGGGGCTCTGCTGACAACCAAGCACATGCGCGGCACAGGCTACTTTTGTCTTGCATGATTCGTTTCTATTAGATTTTTTTTATCTGTGGGCCGCTATCTATCTTCCCTGTCAACACCAGGGAAAAATAAAAAAAGAAAAAGGAAAGGGAAAAAAAGAGGCACTGGTACCCCCGTCGCCAGACACAGCCAATTGGTCTGTCTCCACACCTTTCTATTCTTGCAGAAGGACAGCTTTCCCCGCGCATTGGAGGGATCGACGATTCAAGAGGGGTAAAAAGCAGGATTTCATTGAGAATACAGGTTTAAAAATAAAAAAGAAAACCGCCGAAAGGGGCAGAAAGCTCTAAAGGAACGTGACGAAAATCCGTTCCATAAGCAGGGAGCCAAGTCATCGATCAACAGCCTGATAGACGACGGTAGCGTTACCGATTGTTGCCCCGTGGAGCCACTGTTACACAAGGCCACTGTTCGTCTCAATTGTTATCAGGGACCTGAGTTCCTTTCCTCCCCCCCCCCCTCCTTCATTCCTCGCGAGCGCTCTCAGGAAGGGCTCTCCGCATTGCATTAAAGGCTGGCCAAGATGCAGATATCAAAATCATAACATATCCCGCTAAGGACGTGGCTTTTGCATCTCTCAGCCAGACACGTTCCCTAATTCGGTTCGTATTGCATTACAACCATAGGCCGCCATCTCTGAACCAACACGACCGCTTCCTTACTGCTGTACTGCTCATTCGTCCTTTGCGAAGTCCAGGTGACTCAGGCATTGGCACGGTTCACGACAGGTTGACAGTCTCACGATCTGCAGCTGGGTGGTGTGTTCTTGTAGGTACCCGCGATGGCCTACGCTGCTACCTCGTCGGCTTCGACCGTCAATGGCGATGCCCGCTCTAGCTTAAAACTCACTACATCATCCTCCAACCCCCCAAAGCTACATCATGTCATCACATCTATTCCTCCTGCCTCCAATCCTTCGTCAGCACCATCGTACGCTTCTTCCCTTACTACCACTCCCAATTCTTTACGCCCCGCCTATTTTCCTTCAAATGCTTCAAGCCCTTCAGGCACGCCTTTACAGATTGCTACCGACGGTCTTCGAGGACGTATACCTCCCTTCCCTGCTGTCCCTCCTACTACGTTCGAGCTCGGAGAGTCCGTGATGGCCGTCCCGGGGAATGCTCCTGCCTCTGGATCGGGGGACGCAGTCATCTCGAATTCCAAAGGTCCGGGCTTGATGCGCAGGATTTCCCGTGGTGCCGCAAACAAGCTTACACGAAGACGCCAATCTGCTTCCCACAATGAAAAGCGCGACCGCAGCTCT